TCTATAATTTATTTAGATGAGACCTATATCCATAAAAACTACAAGCCCAAGAAGTCTTGGCAAGGTCCATCTACAAGTGGGGCGATTGAAAATGTTTCGACAGGGAAAAGGTACATTATTGTACATGCTGGATCGGAGAAAGGCCCTGTGCCAAACTCATTGTTGGTATTTAGCTCTAAATCAAAAATGGCGGACTACCACCACGACATGAATGCTGTAAATTTTAATAAATGGCTACGAGAAAAACTAATTCCCAATTTAAATGAGCCCAGTGTCATAGTTATGGATAACGCCAGTTACCATTCAATTATTGTAAATAAAGCTCCTACATCACAAAATCGCAAAGATGACATAAGAGAATGGCTTACTTTGAATAATATTCCATTTGAAGACTATCACACAAAAGCTGAGCTCCTATGTTTCGTAAAACGAAACACACCAGAACCAGTATATGAAGCTGATGAACTTCTGAAGGAGAATGGACATGAAGTATTACGACTTCCCCCCTACCACTGCGACCTAAATGCCATTGAGCTGATATGGAGTTTGGCTAAACGTAAAGTGGCAAGTAAAAATCTCGGCCTGGCTGCAGCGGAGTTCGAGAGAATTATAAAAGATTCATTTGAAAGCATAACTTCGGAGGAGTGGAAGAAAATGACTGATCATGTTATACATGTAGAAAATAAATATAAAGAAAGGGACAGAATCACAGAAAATAACTTGGAAAGTTTTATTATTAATGTTGGAAACAGTGATTCTAGTGACTCTAATGAATCTTTTCAAATAGAAGTTTTAGATTCAGATTTTGATTATGGAAGTGAATAAATTAAATTATTATAAAAAGCATTGTTTTTTTATATGTATATATTTATATTTTTATTGTGGGAATTTTCAAAATGTCACGAAAACTTCTTTGATTTGGATCATGATATATGTGGTATGATTTTACATCTCGTACTTCTACTCGTACAACATATTTTAATTTTTCAGATTAAAAGTTATATATATTAGCGCTAGCCTTTTCTATATAAAACATTTTTACTTAGCTCATACCCATTGCTGGGCAAAGGTCCCCCCGAATTCTTCTAGGAACTTGTATTTATAGCAATATAAATATCACACACTTAGCGGGAGGTTTCTATAATATAGAGGTTCTATATATAGCGGGAGGTTATAAACAACACAAACCTACATAATTCATAATTTCCAAAACACTGAAAACCAGAATAAGTGGAGGTGCGATAGCTGCTTTGGCCAAAGAATATGCAAAACCATCAGTCACGACCACAGTCAAGAGTAAACGCCTAAACAGTAAGCTGTAGGTTAGGAGATGCTATTACCGCAGTTTTGACCGAGAGACGATCTCCAGCCACCATAAGCGCGGGTCCGCGGACGGCGAAACGACGAATAACTCGCCGCCAGAACAGATTCAGACCCGCGCGCCTCAAAGAGTCAATAGACCACTACAGACGGGGCCCTACAGGGCTGATGTTCAGCCGGGGTTGCGGGGTAAGCGAATGAGACACCGTGGTTGCGGCCCAGAGCAGGAGAAGGAATGCGAGTGATTTTTAGTCAGAGTCTGACACTCCCTCCCGCCCGACCCTGGGCGGAAGAAGTAATTTGTAGATTTTCCCCTCACAAAAAACCAGCAGTATTGATTTATTTCGTAGATGTAGTCCTATTTATAGTCGGATCTTTCCACATGCAGTTAAGAGTATAAAATAAGTAAAGTATACAAATAATACAATAATATTATTTAGCAAAAAATAAATCATAAAGTATCAAAATAGGTTACTCTAAGTATGACATACTATTCTTTGGGTTGCTATACTGAGATTTTTTAAATTTGCCGGGTTTTTCCAGTCTCTACTTTCATTTGCCAGACTCTAGTACTTAAATTATGATATGAAATAATATAACAACATACAAAACTAGACTTCACAGTCAAAATGTCGGAAAAACACAAGAAGTAACTTTTCGACTTTCTCCAATAAAAATCCAACCTTATAGCGTTCAATAAAGAATTGAATATTTATTGAACACACGATTTCATGTGCTGGCATTCACAACTACTTGCCTGTTAACACGCACACATTAATAATTGCCCGGATATCACTCACACAAGCGCAACACAACCAATAATAACTTCTAGTAATAGCCTAAAGTAATTAGACATTTCTATCGATCGATAACATTATCAACAGCCACATCATTTTCCAGTGTTAGTTCACTGTTCATTGGACTAGGCGTGAGGCGTATTTATAGTCACGGTCATCACATAAACACTAGACTATAGTCGTTCCCGTAGGGCCAAGTTACAGTTGCGGGGCAAGCGCAATGAGGTACCGCGACGATTTCACATTACAAAAAAACTGGAGGCAAGTAACAGCTATTGCAAATAATAATTGTTCTCACGGATAAATAACCACTCTAGTCACAGTTCAAATTCGCAGCCTGCGATTCAATAGACCAAAGAGTAGGATGTGGTCTGTTTTCAATACCTGTTATTTTAGTAACAGGTAATTTTACCTGTTTAGACTCAATTCAATTCATAGAAAAATAGCCATAACTTCGAGGCACAATATAGCAGGAAGGTTGACTATGGAGATTCTCAACCTTTAGGCGATAAAGAGCATGTATGTTGTTTTATAGTCATGATTGCGATTTCAATGGTTAGATAAAAGTTACCTGAGGAATAATTATGATGCTGTCGCGTCAGAGCAGACTGCCGTACCAGACAGTACTTGAAAGTGCCTACCCGGGCTTTTGTAAGTAAGGGATTGGGGGATTCGGAGATTGGTGATATGAGCGTTTTAGCCACCTCAGACACGATGAAACAAAACACAAGCGTTTTGTCACGCCGGTTGCCTGTGAGGCCGTGATAGCGGTCAAATCGAGAAGGCCTATTCGTGACGAAACATGGCTCTACCGCATTTTACGTATCATCATCATCAGCCTGATGTCGTCCACTGCTGGACATAAGCCTGCCCAATTGCACACCACTGAGCTCGATGTTCAGCTCTTCTCATCCAACCACTGCCAGCCACCCTGGAGATGTCGTCATTCCACCTAGCTGGAGGGCGTATATATCCCCTTATATTCGCCGAAGGCATGTTTAGGAGTCGATACATATCGACAATAGGTTTGGATACCGTAATCCTCCAAACTAATGTTATAAAAGCGAAATTAACTTGTCTGTCTGTCTTTTCTGCACACCTAAACTACTGAACCAATTTCTGTGTAATTTATCTCGAGAAAGGACATAGGGTAGTTTTCATACCAAAATTCTGCAGGAAGTCACTATTCCTGTATTAAAATTTTCCATATTTTATTTTATTTTTTCTATATCTTTTGGTCTATATTTTTTTTATATACGTGTAAGTACAAAAGTACATCTTTAAACAATAGAATTATTTGATCCTTTTATCAACAAAATTCACCATTTACTTCTTGCACTCAACGTTTACTCTTCTCTGCTGATGCAGATGGTAATATGGGGTTGGCAGTATTGGGTGATCCTGGAGGACATACTGGTAGAGATGTCTAAAGCATTAGGCTCCCTATCGTCATCATCATCATCATCGTAAACCTAGTTTCTTCCACAACTGGACATAGGCATCCCGAATTGCACGCCACTGAGCTCGATGTTTAGCTCTTCACGAGCCCACACATACAAACATAAATGAATAAATTATCTGTTCGTTTTTTCTCACACGAATCCCTAATTTAAAATGTAAGTGAATCAGATCGGTTAACGCGAATAAAGCCACAGGTAATAACGAAACTCAATAAATGTTCATAATCGACCATAATGGATTGCCAAGATTAAGCTGTGAAATTTACTTAATTTATTTAAAAATAATTATTGGATTTCATAAATGTGTTTGTTTATTTTTACTTTTTGTTGCTTTACAAATATGAAAACAGCATACTTCTCCTAATTTATACAGAAAATTATTGAATATGCTATTATACTTGCCAAGGAAACTACACAATTCCGTCTGCGTTTTCCACTGCAAGGGAAAATCATTTAAAGTAAACAATTTCCGGAACGTACGCTTGCGATCGCTGCGCTAATAACACAGCAAAATATAAAAGTCACTAAAACTCACATTCCCAAGTACAAACAGCACTTGACCGAATTTAACGATATAATCAAATCAAAAATGGAACGCAAAGGAACATGCTCCAAGCCCGATGACGTTTGAGTACAGCTGGCTTAATTACATCTCCCTCAAATTTATGGCAGCCTGGTAGCAACAGGGTGGAGAGAGGTCGTTCTTCACACGCCGAGTTTCCCCACAGGAAGCAATTACGCTCGCACACCGTACACGAGCACGCTTTGAGCTTTGAGATCTCATAATTTCTGCTACCCTGGTACTTATGTTTCTTTCTATGAACTGCCTTCATACTTATAAACTGCGTTTGCAAAAATGAGTTGTGCAGAATCAAGAAAATTGTAGATTTCATGGTCGAAAATTACTTTCATGACAAGATTTGTTTCACAAATTCATAATATCAATATCAATCAAATCAATAAAGTTTATATCAATCAAATTAAAATTTTGTTATCAATGTCTAGTATTTTATGTGTATACTTTTTGAACACGTTTCCTTAGACTAAGGAAAATTTTCCGGCAAGAGTTTTGTGTGAACAACTTGTAATAATGAAGTATATTAAAAAATAATAATCCTACAAGAGATAACACTTGCATTCAAAATTCAATCAAAGCACAAATATGGAAATTATAATAATCTATTTTTCACTACCGAATACACCAATAAAATATACCACAACAGTAGAATAGTACCGTACTATTTCTTTACCAGAAAATAATAATCAATGTACCATTTGATATTATGTATCGAGTATTAAAACCATAAATGTACTCATTTTTGTTCAATCTAAAACAACAGACATCATGCAAAAACAGGGACCCGAGGCAAATTGTACACAGAAAGAAGAAAATGTTTCTATAAATAATAAATGGGGAACTCACCTGGATTCGCCCTCACAAAAACAGTGTGAAAACAGCCTATTTTTAATAATATCCCCGTTTCACAAGAGTATCCTGAACTACACAACCTACGTACATTTCAATAACACGAAACACGACTCGACTGTCCTTTCAATTATTTAGAAGATAGAATCCTAGTTTATTGATGTTGTGTGATGTTAGTGAATTAGGTGTTCGATTATAATTCGATTGTTCCGAGTGTGGAATCGATTGCTCGGGCCGAGTGGCAAGGCCGAGCTCCCGCGACCGACTGAAACACGCTCGGGCAAGCTCCCGATTCCCGGTGGTGTTTCAGCGCAGTGTTGCTACGTTAGGAAAATTATTTCCCTTTATGTATTTTTTATTTTAATTTAATTTTTCTCTGATATAAATTTTGATTGACTAAAGTGTTCTCTTTGTTGTTTCTTACATTGGCCTCGAATTAAGTTTTTATGATATTGTAATTATGGGTGATGGGCCCTAGACATAATATTTTTGTTGTTAAATATTTTTATAGTTTTGACTATGCTTTCTCTGCCAATCAGTTACTTAATTACTCAGAGACGGGATGATTTACGAGGTTTGATATCATTTTTTATATTAACAAGCTTTTATTTTATTTAAATACATAAATCAGGTACCGATTATATTTAAATTTCAAAACATTGTAATTTTACCCCGAATTCAGGGTAATTCTGCCCCACTACCCTAGTGACCCCGAATCCTTTGTGTGATCCACAAACTGCTAGCATGCTTCCAATGTTCTATTGTTTTCCGTCACTGTCACTCTCAGCTTACGCGCATATATCTTTCTCGTTCACTCATTCGGAGATGTTAAATAAAGGAAGTATATTTTTATGAGAACTTGGATTTGTTTGATATTAATTATTGTTTTAACTATACTTAATGAGTAATGAGTAATTACTAATTACATTGAGTACATAATTATAGAATAATAAAAGTATATTTTCGACCATCATACTGACATAAAACCAAATAATTATTTTCTACTAGCTTCAGCCAGTGGTTTCGCCCGCATATATGTTATGTTATTATAGACTATAGGTAATCTATCTATGTGCGAAGCTTCTTCAAAATTCATTAAGTAGTTTTCACGTTATTTAAAGTGCAACACACCTCCATACTTACAAACTTTATTGTTTATACTACCTATTAGAAGGATAAAAATTTCATTTTCATGTTACTTTATTAACATGAAAATGAAATTTAATATTATATTATATTTATTATAATATTATATTTGTTATTTCCTTTCACGGGACCACAGGATCCCGAACCTTTGGAAGGTTTACCAGGTACCGAAGCCAACTCGCAGAGGCCCTTTGATTAATTTTCTAAATGTGGTGGGGCATCAAACAGCAATTTTACTATTATAATTGGTCTCAACCTCGAAATACCCTTAATAAAATTACTTAAGACGATGATCCATGGTATCGTACCAAAGGACAATATCGACCACAACACAGAAAAAAAATTTTGACGACCGCTCCGCGAAAACATTCTTTTCGTTATTTTAAATAATGTGGTGTGACAAAACCTATTTTAATTAATTAAACGGTTATTACAAAGGCATGTCATTTTAATTGAATAATTATTTTATATTTAATCTTAATTCTAAAACCTTATGCACATTGGTTTAACTTTAAAGCAACTAGGGTCTAAGTCGCTAATTTCTTAGGTTCATGAAGAAATTGTTTGTACATGTAGCGACATCTACCGCACAACACGCAGCAACCGCTCCAATCACGTTCAAGATTCTAAATCGCGGTATAACAGTTTTCAACGCAATTAGGGTCCTCCCTTTTCAATGGAGGATCAGACTTTACACCCAGTTCTCTCATCACTCCAAATATTCAAGAGACTAAAAAAGCCGCTTTCGTTGTGAATCCTATAACTAGTTCGAACAGGAACTGATCTTGCAGAAACCATATAAATGTGTTTGCCCTTTATTGCCGGCTTCATCTAGTTTTTCACATATAAATTGACGTGTAAAAGTGCCGTTTTATGGCCTATTTGCAAAAATAAATTCATTGTTTCATTGTGAATAAATGATATGATTCTGACTTGCGATTCTTAGTATGTTTCATTTATTTTCAGCTACTTTATTTCCCTATGCGGACGTCATCATCATCAGAGTATTGGCTATGCCGTCCGTTGCTGAAAGTAGGCCTCCCCAAAGCGACAAGTGGCTCCCGGCGACCCTTTTATACTTACGTAAAATGCCGATAGCATGAATCCTTTTGATGAGGGGGAAAGGTCGTCAAACGGCTTTTCCCTCACTATATCCCTAATGGTCGAGTAATAGGAAACATCGGGCATCGGGCTCTTACTGACTCAAAACCCACCCCATTCGTTCTCCTGCTCTAAGCCCGTTTAAAAAGAATTTAGCTAAAATTTACATAAGTTTGAAGTTAAAAAGAATTGAGAAGTTACTAGCTCTACTACTGGACGCGGCGATTTCGCGCAGTGGGCTGTGCGACGTCGCCGTGTCCGCGCACGCTGCTCATGATGAAGAACCCCCCTGTGGTTCAAAACTAGTAGAGCTTTCCTCAATTTACACACGTGAGTAGCACGCGATTTTTAGTTAATTTAGTATGTCTCATGATAGTATGAAGTTTGTCTGTATAACACTTTAGAATTGCCTTTAACGGTCGGTATAAATACATATACCGCGCTGGTCAACCTAACACTCAATTTTTACAAACATTAATGTGGATAACATTTAACAATGAATACAATAATACCACGTAAGTTTTAAAACTAAATCATTATCACTGTCTGATTTAAATGAAGTCCTATTACGTGAATGGTAAAGTCGATTGTCGTTAAATTTGCATGATTCCGTGTTGAGTATACTTATAGTTTTAAGTACACTAAATGAAAAAGAAGTTTGTACACAAAACGGAATTAAATGCCATATGGCATTCTCTACCCGTCCACCTTTGTATCAAATAGAAAAATAAGCAAACATAGATACGGGATGGATATACATAGGTATATTTTATAAAGAAAAGAGTAAAAAATGTTTATACAATATGTAGATCGTATTACGTTTCACAGCTGATAAAATGATGACTAAACTAGGCATATTTTATGTTTCAGTCATTACTTTATTGCTAATGATGTATCATCTAGCACATTCACGAACACGGAACGATAGGCGCATCTCGCCGGACCGTACCGATGACAACAACCTGCGAGCTGACAACAATAATGCTAAAAAGTACAGACGCAAGCAGTACAATAGCTGGTCAAAAAAAGGTTTTTATAATTGGCCCGAAGCATGGCAACCCACTGCAATCATTGTGGATCCTAATCCCTTGGCACATGTATTTAGTTTCAACATAGATCCAGACAGTGTAATATTGTACACAAAGTACAAATCTTAACAATTTTAAATTAAAATTGTATTTATATTGTTGTTGTTGTTTTTGCCCAAAATATCAAGGCATCTTATCCCCTATATTAAAAGGCCGGCAAAGCACTTATAATTCATGTATTGTTAAGAAAGTCTAGAAAAGAAACTAAAAGATTCTACCAAACGTACACTATCATTCAAATGAATAATCCGACCCAACAACTGTTTGTTTTATTTGTTAAATAGGTGCTCTAACAAATAACTAAGTGTGGGAGAGCCATGCTTCGGCACGAATGGCTCGGCTCGACCGGAGTGATTCCACAGCCTCACAGAAAACCGGCGTGAAACAACCACAGCGTTGTGTTTCTCCATGTCAGTGAGGTTACTGGAGACCCAATCCCACCCCCAATCCCTCCTCATTCCTAAAATCTCCAAATCCCTAATCCCCAAAAGGTTGTCAACGCACTCGTAAGTCCTCCATTTTTCGTTCATTTTGTTTGTTCGTTAGCCGACCTATTCGGAGTCTGATAGGAACGATAAAGAATAAACCTGGTCTTACAACTTTTAAGAACGAGTTCGACATCAATCCGCCTTGTGCAAACGCAGTGGTTGATGTTTAATCTTCAGAAGTAGGCACATATAGGCTGATAATAATGATAGCAACCCAGAAACAACTGAAGAACTGAATCACATGTCTCTTTAGAGACTGTCGCACTGTGCAACGTGTTTCTGATCCTATTCCGTAACCAGACTACTCTTTATGTCATCTACAAATTGTAGTTGAAATCAAATCAAATCCAATCAAGTCTTTATTGTATCTATAGTGTACAGTCAGTCATACCATTTTTACAAATGTTCCCATTATAGGCCCCGTCGGGCATCGCAAAAAATATTACATATGCACTTAAATATTTGTTATTCTATAAATTATATACTAAACATAAATCAACAAGTAAATCATCAAAAGAACAAACACGAACCTAATTAGACACGAGTTAAAAAACTAACTAAGGTTTTAACAATTTAACAATACAATAGTGACAGTAACACTTTGATACTCTTTTTTGCCTGACCCTGCGCAAGAGAAAACACTCGATGATTTTCCTCTTTGAACAAAAAGGTAAAACCACTTCCAAAGTTAATTTGAATTCCGAAGATTATTATTTTGTCAGTACGAAAAAGAAAACTATGAGCAAAACCTGAACCTATAAACTGAGTTTACTATGTTTACTTGTACTGTTTTCTGAAGATATGACTTCAATATATCTAGAGATACTCCCTCGAATGCTCGTGTTCGAGCTTCAGTAATAGTGTCTCGTACTCAACACAGTCAAAAGCCTTCGAAAGATCACAAAATATTCCGTTAGTATCCTGTGCTTTTTTCCACGAGTTGAAAATCCGTTTTATAGGCGATACTTCTGTGTCCCTTGGTAAACACGTATTTGGTTATGAAAGATGAATTCAGTGTTAAAGTAATGCAACATCTGAGTAAGCATGATAAGTATATAAATAAGGTGCTATAGTTTCTATATCTTTTATAGACTGCAGACTCAAATAGACTTTTCCCAAAGATCTTCAGACGACTTTTTTTGTGAGGGGAAAATCATCAAATGACTTCTCCCGCCCAGGGCGAGGAAAGAGGGAGTGTCAGACTCTAACTGACTAAAAACACCACCATTCCTTCTCCGGCTCTAGGCCGAGGCCACAGTGCCTCATTGCGCTTGCCCCGCAACCCCGGCTGAACATCAGCCCTGTAGGGCTCCATCTGTGACGGTCTATTGGCTCTTTGACGTGCACGCTGAACGATTTGATTTAGCCATTGACTACTACTACTACTAGCTTTTGTAGCTAGACTTATAATTATATACTTTTTTTAAATTTTAA